CCGCTGCCTGAGGCCACGTGAGCAGCCCCCAGCAAGGAGCGGGCGGGGAGAGCGGCGCGACATCAAAGCTGCTAATTAATGGGGATATTTTAATTAGCGATGCATCCTTGAGCACAAAGGCTTGGGAAACAGGACGCAGGTTGGTCACAGGCCTCTCCTGCAGCTTCCCCCAGTGCCACTGCTGGGGCTTGATGCCAAAAATGACTCTAATCCTGGAATTAGAGGTTTTTAAGGGTTTTTGCTTGTCGTTGAAGGGGGAAGAGCAGGGGGAAGAGCAGGGGGAAGAGCAGGGGGAAGAGCAGGGGGAAGAGCAGGGGGAAGAGCAGGGGGAAGAGCAGGGGGAAGAGCAGGATATTTCAGTTGGAAGGGACCTACCCAGTCCAACCAGCTGATCACTTCAAGGCTGACCAAAAGTTAAAGCATATTATTATAATACTATTATTATTTACCTGCCCGTTCCAGAATAGGGCAAACACAGTTTCCTTCTCATCTGTTTCATTCGAATTAGATTTTCACAGCTTCCATCTAATATGTCCCATTTTTGCAGCCAGGTAACCACAGCCCCCTTTCCTCTGACAGCAGTGGAGGGCTTTGTACTGACGTCACTAATGAACAGAAAGGACCCTTCTTCCTTGCTTTTTCACCCAGCAGAGGGCTCAGGGCATCCCAGCACAAGGAGAGGAGCTCAACCGAAGGGGCCAGACAGCGCGTTTCGCTGTAGAGCCAACAGCGGTGACTCCTGCTGCCCTTCCTGGGACGCTCCGGCACCCGCCTGCACCTCCCCGGAGCCGGCTGGCACGCCGCAGCCAGCCTCTGGCCAGTGCTCAGTGGGCATTAATTAAGCGCTCCAGATCTCCCCCCCAAAGTTTCATGAGTCACAGATTGAGGCGTGTAAAGAGAGAATTTCCTGAGCCTGGAGGATGACGGGTTTCTGCAGCCACGGTGGGGTTTTGTTCCCTCCCTAGCAGCTCTAACGAGTTGGACCTTCTAATTGCTGTCTGAAAGACAGAGCGGCAGAATTATTTTATGCTTCTTAAATTGTTTCCTTTAATAGGAAGTGCTGCTTTACTCTACCTTGTGCTTCTGAAACAAACATTTGTGTTCCAAAAATATACAGTGTACACATACTCTGTAGCTATAGATACAAACATTTACAAAGAAACGAGCAGGCTGGAGTGGACGAGCTTGAAAAACCTCACGCCTTTCCTTCTGGCCCTCCCAGCTGGGCTCACCAGACGAGGGCTACTGAAAAACACGACTGAGAAAGATCACACCCTTGGTGATTCTATGAAACTATGTGGATCAAAAAAATTTCCACACACTGCAGAGGTTTGGAGTTTCTGTTGCCTCCTCCCAGCCCCTCCTTTCGTCCCTACGCTCTGCCTTAGGATCTGCATCCCACATCCAAACCGACTGCAGCCTACCCGTCTGCGCCGCCTCCTCCGCCGAAGGGCGGATCCCTCAAGCGGGCACCGCTCAGTTTTACACCAAAAAGAGGAAAATGTGGTTCCCAAGACATTTGGTTTCATCTGTAAGGCTTCCTCAAACTAAGGGAAACCAGGTACACTCTACAGTCTCAGCATTTTAGCGAATAGGTCGGTAGGGGAATGTCATTCCTGGTATAAATGTTTGTACAGGGTGAGCCGGGAGTGCGGGGTGAGCCGGGAGCGCAGGGTGCGCGGCATGTGCGGGGTAGCCCAGAGGAGGAGTATGGATATGAGGGTAAAATCCTGGTGGCAGAGCGCTGTGGGTCGGTTGCTGGACTGGACCCGAAATCACCAGCTGGAGCAGGCTGTGGAGAGAAATTCAGACAAGCGTGAGGATTGTTTAGAGAAGGCTTTTGTCGTGGCTCTTGCCAGCCCGCAAGGACCTGGCTTGAAGGACAATTCATAACCAACACACAGCGCTGCTGCGAGGCAAGAGGGCAGTGATTCAATTATGCCTTCAAATGAAGATTTGGGGTCTTTTTTCCCTCTTTCACTTTTTTTTTTTTAAGGGAGGAAGTAGCCAGCACTGTGTGTCACCTTTACCCTCGTGCTAAACTATGTGCGAATAAAGGCCAACTTCCAGAAAGCGAACATAAGTTTTTAGAGGAGATTTTGCCTCAGCAGCCTTCAAGTTCATGTCTTAGAATATGCACCAAAACCAGCACAGCTGTAGAAAGGTCTCTTACTTGTTATGTGGTAGCCTGGAGCACACAGTTCTCAAGTCATCTGAAAGAGGACAGAAGACATAACGATAAAGGTAAAGCAGAAATTAGAGCAATTTTCCTCTCCGCTCTGCTTTCCAGGAAGATGAGATTACCGAAAAAGCCCCAGTCATCAACAGGTCCAGAATCCCATTCTCAGGCCAAAAATTTTCCTTAGGAGAGATAATGTTTCTCCATCTCACCAGTTATTACCTCAGCTTTCCACACCAGACACTTTGACTTTAACCTGTGCCGCCATATGGGAAATGCTGCTTCATTTCAAGGCAGACCGAGCCTTGCTGTAGAATTTGCGACAGCAATACCCTAACAAGTAGTAACAGAGACATGGGAAACACAAGTATGACTCTGCCCACTGAATATGGTATTCATGACGAGACAGGCATCACACAAAGCTTACCCAATTCCTGTTTCCTGTTAGTTTGTTGTTTTGGGGTTTTTTTAAGCAGTGCTAGCATAAAGAAAGGGTTGGGTTTTTTTTTGCTGAGGTCTATCCACTAGAAATTGCACCTTTCTTACCATCTCCAAACTTCTGCTAAAGCAGAATAGCTAGAACCAAGGTATTTAACAACATATCCTGCTGCTAGAGTCCTTTCAGGAATAGCTTGAGGACAAACTCCTGCCTTTGACTCCCAAAATACTGAAATAACTGGTATTTCAGCAGCTGCTTACAGTGAATTACCTTCCACTTCTAGAGTAAGAGCAAATGCTGAGTGTACTAGGTAAACAGCTAAGAAAAAACACAGCTGAAATAAGCCAAACACCTCCACTTTTCTGCTTGTTCCTATTACACCCAGAGCTAGTTTATAACAGATTAGAAAGAACATTGAGATTTGACCAGCAGCACTGGTTCAGCCAGAGCGCCAGCTTAGGCAGAGGCCGCGCTCTGCAGCCAGCATCTGCACTAACTCTCCCAGCTGTCGGGGAGCTTTAAGCCTTATGGTCGCCTGAACGTCACCTGTTTTCAAGAGAATGTGTCGAGAAAACAGTCCATCTGTCTGACCCTGCGCTGTGCTGAGGCACTTCCCTTTTCCATCTCTGCAGCTCTTCTGGGAAGCACGGGTTTTGGAGACAGGACAGCCAGACGAAAGCCCTGTTCGCAGGCTTCTGTGCCAAGTTTAACTGATATCGTACACACTGTAATGAGGTCTCATCACAGGAGAGCTGAAGGCCCAGAAGTTCCAGATGAAGAGGTTTTGTTGGCGTTTCAAATTCCTTGTCCAGCATACCCACCCCATGGGTTTATCTGCCTCACGGACTCTCCTCCAGCAGGTAAACTCAGAGAAACACAACTAAACAGTGCTTTTTAAATAGCTACAAGCAATTCTGAGGGGGTCAGATTTGTCCCTGTGCTGGACACCCAGATATAACTCCCTTGTGCAGGCTGCAGGGTCAAAGACCAATTCTTCAGCTCTGCAAAGCAACGCACCAGTCACCTGCATCAATGATTTCTCCTTTCTTACTGCCCATTCAGTTATTTTTCCTGACCTATTTCCTGCACTATCACTTCCTAAGAGCGGCAAACTCCTCCTTCTGCTGTGAACATGTTGATCTTTACTCCCCTCACCCCAAAACTCCCTCTCACAACTTCTGCACACTGCAGGAAAGGAATCCCACGCCAGGGTCTCTGCTAGCCCCACTGACGACCTACCTCTAGTGCACAGGAGTGCTCCCGATGCCATGGCCACTTGCAAGGCCTGAGCCAGTCTGTCTAGAGCCAGTTCGATCTCTTTGGACGCATTAAGAGGATTGAGTTCGTCAGAGAGTCTGTTAATTTCCTCAACAAGCGGAACCACGTGGTCAAAGGGAATCAGCCCCAGGCGCCCATAAAGGTTCTTCTCCGTTAAATGCCCCTGAAGCATCATAAGAACCTGCAGGACACTTAGGTGCAGTTTCGAATACAGCTGGTGGCAATCTTTATCTTCTCCTGAGGGCGAGTCCTTGGCAATTTTGCTGGGGGGATGTCCATTCGAGAGAGAGGCTTTCTTCGTCCTCTTGTAAGCCAAGGGGGCCTTCACACACCAACGGATCAGTCCAGTCAGCGGGGTGAGCTCTAAAAACCCTATTGGCAGGTTGGCTGCAATAGGAGTGTTTAGAAAGGTGATGAGGATCAAACGAGGGTCTTCAAAGATCCAGGAAACAATCAACTCGAGCAGATCCGAAGGAGGGATGAGGTCATCTGAAGACAGGAAATTTATTGTTGGGTAAGCACTGAAGCACAGAACAGCAGTCTTTAATTAATCTCTCACACCCCCTTCCTGCACTGTCACAAGTGCAATTTCAGAAACTCCCCAACTCTGCTGTTCTTTTCAAGACACCAAAGGTAAACAATCGTTTGTCCCAGGGAAGACAACCACGTTCCTGTCGACTTCACCTATTCCGAAGACACCACCAGAGGCCGATATTTATTCTCTTTCCCAGCAAAGCTGCTTTTGTCATTTTCTTCTCTCCCACCCATCATCTGCTCACTTTTTCTCTAAACTCAGTCTCCGTTTATCCCTCGCCACTAGAAGTACAATGGGCAAGGGAACAAGAAAAACTTGTTGGCACTTCTTCCTCTTCACCCCAATCATTCAACTAATTTCCTTTAAGACTTACCTAAACAAGAATGTCTTGTGGAAAAAGCTTAATGCAACAACATGATCAAGTGCCAGGTAAATGGTTACAAGATTATGTAAAGGTTCAAGTAAGAAGTGAAAGGTGGTCATGAATGGCAGCTTGACTACAGACCAGAGGAACACTGACTGCCCAGTAATTGTGCATCGCCCTGCCACAGGGGCAGGCTACCGGGCTGAGCGACGTGCTTTCGTGGCGAGTTGTGTCCAGTGTCAAAGGGCTCAGCACAGAACTATCTAGTCAGGTCTTTTGTACCCGAAATGACTTAACAGGACAAATCATCTAGGCTACAGAATTACTAATGGGCACTGGATACAGAATTGGCATGTTCCACTTTTTAGCTCTTCTGAGACCTCCAAGTATCACAGATACTGACGTCTGTGTGACTGATCCCTGTCCTCAGGACATGGAGACTGCCCAGTTACAGATCGTCCTTTGAACAGCAAGCTTCCTTTTCTTGTGTCACTGATAACACCTCAAATAAACTAAGGAATTTTAAAAAATTACTTCCTATAATTCATGTTATTTCCTTTGTGACAGATCTTTTATTTCGTTGGATGAACTTCCAAGTGGTTGCACCAAACAGATATAAAATACTGAGGAAGAATATGCTAAAAGCTCTACCAAATACGTTTTAAAAATAATCTAAGCCTGTACCTCTCTCTCACTAACGCCAAGCTGCTTCTCTGGAGAAGACCGTGCATTTCCTTTGTCAATAACAACTAGTATTTGCTTTTTTGGGTTACATATGATGTTGGTATTTAGTGTATGGTTATTCCCTAGTCTACCATGAGCTCGCTCTCTCTTGCTGAGTAAAGGTAAATCAATCTTATTTTAGACACCGACATGTTTCCAGCATCTGAGCAACAACCACCTGAGACAGGTCCTATCACACGGTCACACATACCATTAAGGAGCGCACCGGAGGTACGCTGCTCGTTGTGTTTCTCATCACTGCTCAACAGAAATCCTGCTCCAGCTTGCAAACAGTCAGAATTTGTGTTTCTCTCCTGTTTGGAAGGAATCGGACTGACACACAGCCCCGAGTCTATCTGCTGGGTCAGTGACACACAACAGGGAGGTCCAACTGCCCCACCCAGGCAGACCAGCTTTCACTCCTAGTGCTGCTCAATCAATCAGGTCCCCGTGTCCTTTGCCCTCCGAGAAGGATGCTGCCCTTTGTGCCACACGTTACCTGGCTGCTTCTCCAGCAAAGACTCTCTCTTCAGCCACCGAGTGGTTATTTTTTATTCTCAAGCCAGTGAGAGACGAGGCAATAGCCACACCCCTGAGCTGCTTCTGGCAATAATTACACGGTAACAAGCATTTTTAGAATTTCAGCAGTTAATTCGCTTGCAGCAGTTACTTTGTGTTGCTATACTGCACTAATGTTGAAAGACACAGCTCGGGAACACAAACCTGAAGAGAGGTCGTAGAGGGCCGTGACGGATGTAATGAACTGGCAGCAGAAGCGAGGACTGGCACTGAATATCTGCTTCAGCGTCTGGATGGACCCTGGCACCAAGTTGCAGTAGTCATCCACCAAGGCTCGGGCTAGCCTCACGCAGTACACAGCAGGGGTTCGCTGCAGGGGTGTGGGACAGCACACGAGGAAGAAGTGGATTAAACCCAGTCACAGAAAGTTCTACAGAGCTGACTTTAAAGTTTGCGCTGCCTAAACGCTGTGCCTGCCCGCATCACCCAGCCACTTTGCTGTTCCAACATTTGTGTTTCCACTTTCCCAAAACTAAAGCGTGTTTTCTCTCTCTCTCTCTGCCTATCAAAGATCCACTCAGACAGAAATAAAATTACTATTTCACAATATTAAAACAGAGGGTGATATCTCATCTTTACAATAGCTGTAGTTTAAAACTAAAACCTTTTACATGAATATTTTGACTTAGGTTGAATTTTTTTTACTACTTCCACAACACAGTTCCATAGTTCAACAAGTTCAGTACCAGAGCAACTAGTTCAGTAACCGCTCAGCTACACTTGACATCTTTAATGTAAAAAAAATACTGTGCAATTCTCACGTCACTTAAGAGCTGTGACCTGCAAAAAACTACACCTTCTTTTGCTATCCAGGTTACATATCCTCCTCCTCTACCAAGGCTCACCAGGTGGGAAAAGGAGGGACCCCACAGAAATGGTACTGGTCTGCCTTCTCCCACCCTTCCCTCCCAGCACAGTCTATCTCTACACTGGAGCAAAGGGATGGACGCGAGCACAGGCACTGGCTGACCATAGCTGCAGCAGCCAGGAACTCTTAGGTGACACTCTGCCCCGTTCACCCGTATCCATCGTGGCACACTCCCTCGCTCCTTCCCTGCCTGCACAGAAGCTGTACCTGCAGCCAGAAGGCAGCACACTCCAGAACAGGAACCCTGCACACAGCCACTGCCATGGAAACCAGCTTTCCTAGTAAAGCCATCCTGCTGTCATCTGCTTTGTTTCCTTGAGGGCTGAAGAGAGACGAGAAAATGATCTGCCGGACCGAATCCTTGGTTTGCTCTTGGAAATAATTGCACATGATCTCAAGGAGCTGAAGTTCCTGAAGTGAATTCAATCTCTGAAAGAAAACAAAAGCAAAGCTGCAAAATACACTGGGGCTCTTGAAGAATTGAGAGCTGCTTTGGTGAGACAGGAATAGTAAAGGCTAAGAGCTTCCCTCAGAAGTTAGGAACTCAATCTTTGTGCACAGCACATATTTAGACTTCCTGAACTGCCACTGAATTTGCCTAGTTACACTGAAAAGCTCTAGGTTGTATTTGAACACCTGGATACCCAAGGCCGGTGCTTGCTGCACCTGCAAGTGCTGCCCACAAACTGAAGGATGAGACTGCTCGGGAACACATACCTGAAGAGAGGTCGTAGAGGGCCGTGACGGACGTAATGAAGGGCATTTATTCCTTATAAGAAGAGCAATACCGGGGTGAAAAACATTTCCTCCCTCTGCAAATAACAGCCCTAAGGGCACCACCGGGTACCTGCGGGGGTGATCACAGCTGGGCCAAGCAGCCCACTCGAACTGTGAGGCTGTGGGCAGCCTCCAGAGGCCTTGAGGCCCAGCACACCTTCCCGGGACCCTGTCTGAAGGCCTCCCTGCCAAAAAAATCAACTTGGCCCCAGCACCCCAGGGACCCCGTCCTTTGCTCCTGGAGACCTGGCCTCCAACAGCAGCCCCCAGGGACCCCGTCCTGTCCTTCTAAGGCCTCAGGCTCCAGCAGCAGCCCCCCCAGGGACCCTGTCGAGCTCTTGGGGCCTTGGCCTCCATAGCCACTCCCCGGGGCTGCGTCCGGCCCCCCAGGGTGCTGTCTGGCCTTACGTCGCCAGCCCCCCGGGCCTGCTCGGCTTCCTCCGGGCCTCAGCCTCCACCAGCCCCCGGGGACCCCGTCCGGACTCTCAGGGCCCCTCAATGCCTCGCCCCCCCAACCGCCCCACCGTCGGGGCCCACCTTGGGCGGAGCGCCGCGCTCTTTGGGGACCTGGAAGAGGAACTCCTCCAGGAGCTCGGCGGGGCCCTTGTCGACGAGGGGCAGCGGGGCGCTCTGCAGCTGGCTGCTGAAGTAGATGTCCAGGTGGTACAGCACCTCCTTGGCGGCGCTC